AAGCATTCAAATATTATCAAAAATTTAATTTAAACCATAACACTAACCCTTACTTAAGCTGAGTATTTAATCATATAATTAGTTCCTTTTCTTCAAACTACCTGAATTAAACTTGTTGGTGAATTGAGTGTTGGTGAAATAAATATGACAATAAAATTGATAATTAATCATCAGTGATTAAATGTTTGTAAAATAAACTTGTTGTAAAGTTTTGTGTCTACAAAGAGAGCATTGGTGAACTAGTTTAATAAATAACATCAAGTTCACTTGATTAAATTAATGTGAAATTAAGTTGCAGTATAATAAGCATATAACTACTTTTTAAACTATATAAACATGAATTGCCAAATACACTGTCTAATTTGACATTCATAATTCCAAATTTATTCAAAAATATGTTAATTTTGAAAGACCCTAACAAAGATTCGCAACAGTAATAAATTAGTGACACCAAGAGAAATGTGACTTCAATTTATATGATTGAAGTTTCATTTTTTCTTGAAGTTACTTAAAATAATATCTAATATACTTACTTGAACTAGATTAATACGAAATTAAGGTATAATGTAAATATAATATATACTGTATCTACAAATTTAAATATCTTATTTTTAAAATATAAATTGGTTAATAAAAACTATCTATCATTATACTCATTAATTTATCAAAATAATATAATACTGTATTCAATTATTTGCAAAATCATGGCAAAAATGTCATTAAAATAAGCAATAGGAGTTTTAAGAAATTTATAGTATAGAATATAATAAGGCTGTTTGAAATTGAAACTTCATTTAACGTTATTTTTTTGCATTTACATGGTGTATTTAAAAATCCCAAATGTAAGACGAAAATTCCAGAGGCCACGCTAGTTATTATATTTATCAATCTGTCTCTTCTATTTGTTTAATTTTTGGGGAACTCAGGAGACGGAAGGGGGATAAATTAAAATACAACTTTACTTATTGTTATAATTATTTGTACCCGTGCCTAGTGATAGGACCTCTTGAATTAATAATGATAATAATTATTAATTATTAATTAATTAGTCAAGTTATTAGCTATAAACTACTTGATAATGTACAGTGCAGTATCATTCTCTATTTTAAAATTTATCAGACTTAAGGTTTAATTTTATTATGTTTTTATATATACTGTAATATGCAGTTTTCTAATGCAATCACATGATTATTAGTAATTACTACTGGTTAATAATTTTAGTAATTTTTTATTATTAATTAAAATAAAAGTCCAGCGCCTAAAGTTATAAAAATTATAAGATCACTAATTAAGTTCCTGGTTTTTAGCTTATTCCTGGTTTGGCATAACTATTTAATTATATATTAATATAATTATTATAATGTTATAGTATTAGAGATGAGTCATATATTAGCTGAGATCAGTTTACTATAGAGTCCCCCCCCCCCCTCCTGAGAAATTTAGTTATTCTGATTGGTTATATGTATATATTTAGACCTGAGATTTTGTCTACCTCCTCCCTACCTTACAATATCTGACACTTCCCTTACGGTATCGCATTATTACACCACAAAGATACTACAGTATTCTGATATTTGGCATTACGGCATTATGGCATTGCGGCATTACGGAGGTTCTGTGCCGTAATTAATTCTACCATATCAGATATGATAGAATGCCGTAATGCCGTAATTCAGTAATTCTACCGCCAACACTAATATAGCCCCGCCACCCTTTGCATGACCATCCATTTTAGTTATTATAATCAGGGTTGTTAGTGGTAAACTTACTGTGGTAAGTTGCCGGTAAATTACGGTAAATTACCATGGTAGGATACCAAATACTCATTTGAAAGTCCGTACATTATCAGAAAATTTCGTAATAGTAGGCAATTGGCACGGATACTTTCGGAATAAAGCATAGACAACCCTGATTATAATCGAACAGCTTCATGAAAAGCTTTTGCCTGAGATTCAGCAGCCTGACCGATTGTTCCATCCATTACGAAAATAGTATTATCAGGATTCTAAAATTAGGAGATAATTTAATATTAATAATACTATTATTACTATAATATTATAATTATTATTTTAAAATAACTTACAACTGTTATCTTTATTAAAGTTTAAAATCAGTTTTTAATAATATTTGAACGATTTTTTTTCGAAACCCCTAATTGACCCTATTGGTACCCTATTGATACCCTATTGGTCTCGATTGGTGACTATTAACTCAATAGTTACAATCAGTAAAACCCAAAAATAGGCGGCAATAGGGAGGTTCCCTATTGAACCTCATTTTACCTGTGTATATTTCTGAGGAATATTGTGAAAGAATTAAACAACTTGAATAAGATGAAATCTTTTAGGATGATTTAATTTCAATGACTAGCCTTCCAGATAGACTTTAATTTATCTGTAAAATTTTTTTATTTAGGGCCTAAACAATTTTCCGAATTGGATAATATTCCTTCAAAAGTTATAAGTATGTGAGAAGCTTCACAAGAACAATTAGTATCACAAATAGGTAATATAACTGCAAATGGAAAAAAAGGTAAAGTTGCTTCCATCATCCAAATAATCACATTTGTAATAATTAGTGGAGCTAGAAATCTATGTCTAGAATATACACGTAAATATCTTTGTGTGTATTACTGTTTAAATTGAATTCAAACACTTTGATTTTAAGGTTGAATATGCGATAAATGGATTTAGAAATAACTTTAGATTAGTTCGAAATTCTTTAATGATTTGGGGTGAATATAAAGGTTCACTTAAATGTATTTAGAATCAACTTATGCTGGTTCTAAATCTAGATCTAGCAAGATTCCATTCTGACGTACAACATTTATACAGTATGATATTAATGAAAATCTTTGATTATAAAAATTATTGCTTTACTGGAATTGGAACAACTTAAATTACCCGGTTATCCGGATAATTTATTATGGTTACGGGCTAACTTCCCGAAATCAATTTTACTGAAATACCATTTAACCGAAGTCATAATATTGGCATCCCATTTTACTAACAAGACATAATTCCGAAAGTCTCATTTTACCGAAATATCATTTAATTGATAATTAATTTTACTGATAAGTCATTTATCTGCAATTTCACTTTTAAAAAGATGAATGGTTTATTTTACTGACATGTCATTTTTCCGAATGGTACATTTTTCTGACATTCTATTTCTTTGAAAATATATTACTGAAAGCTCTTTTACCGAAGGATGCTTTACTGAATTTACAGCTATTTTTATAAATTCTGGATCACCCAATAACCCGAAAAAGGTATAAACTAATTTGCCGACAACCATTTCACTGACAGTCATTTCACCGACAAAGTTAGCTTGGTTTATGTTAAGTTGGCCTGATTTATGCAATTTTATTCAATCGAGAAGACGTCTTGTTGTGAAATGTCTTTTTGAGGAATATCTTTTCGGGAAACATCTTTTCGGAGAAACATCCTTTCGGGGAAATATATCAAAATATTTGTCAATGAAAAGAAAGGGATATCGGAATTATGAGATCGGGGACGATTTATTATAGCAATATACAATCTCTAAACTATCGATTATTATGAGGCATTTAAAATGTACAATAATTATGATGATTTTACTATTAATAGTTCATTAAAAGATTCTATTTTACTAAAAAATAGCCTAAATGAAAAAGAAATGAGAATACAATCAACGAAAGGCATTGGAGTTTTTTCAAAATTAACAAATAAGTGTCGCATTCGAAAATAAGAAGGATTTTTTCAATGGTATTTTCACTATGTTGAATTATAAATCAGAAAATAATACTGTATAAGATTCTCTGATTTTAATTTTGAAACCTCCATTACAAATATTTTTAAAATCGTTGCTGGATCATTGTGTTGTTAAAGATTGTGAATATTTATTTGATTGGTTTTTAAATCTGTAGAAGGAAATACAAGAGTGCAATTCCTTATTGAAAATTACTATTATACAGTAATAGTGATGGTATTTATAAAGATAAAATAAAGAGGGACTTTCAAATAGTATTTTGAAATCAGTTAAAATTCAAAATACAAATGCACAAGTATTTGTTGAAAATTTTTATTAAATGGCGATGGCACTCATAAAAATAATATATATATATATATATATATATATAAAGGCTTTCAATTGGTATTTTGAATCAGCTGGAAAAAAAAAGAAATTACTTAAGATACAATTACCTTGCATAATTATTATAAAAATAACAAGGAACCTTGGCATATAAAAAAAAAAAATTTTGATTGGTATATAAATTTGCAGAAGAAAAGAGGATAGTTCAGAATAAATCTTTGAAAAAGGGTGATAAAATATTCTTGGTGATTTAAAACAAAGCTTTTGAATGATAAATGAAATCTGCCGAAGATGAAAAGAAATTAGATAAAAAATAAAGCCAAAAAATTATAAGATTAAATTATGGGGTCTTTGCCTTGAAAATGACCTTACGGGACTATGTAGATTTTATGAATAAAAATTAAAATTTCTAGCTATCCAGTAATCCAATTCAAATAAACTTTTTTTTATTTTATAGAGCTTAGTGAGTTCTACAAAATAAAAATAAAAAAATTTATTTGAATCGGATTATTAGATGGCTAGAAATTTTAATTTTTATTCATAAAATCTCATAGTCCCGTAAGGTCAAAAGATCCCATATAGTTATAGCAAAATAATCAAAAGGTTTGCTCATGATTATATAGCGGACGTAAAAAGATCACATTACTAGTTAATGGATAAAGTACATATAAATGTTGTCAATGGAATTTAATTTGGAATTATTAAGGTTATAGGGTTTAGATATGGTTACTATGTTCAATTTAAGTGGATTCCACCACTTACAATATATATACTGCATGCAATAAATTTATATTTGAAATATCTCAGTACATTGATATCAAACATAATGCAAAAATAATTTATTTATCTAGAATTTTGCTAAGCAAAATGAATATGATTTCAAGCATTCTTCACAGCTATTTCACTACCGGTAATCGAAACTTTAATCAATCAATCAATTTTGCAACCTCAATCCACAACAAACTAGGATCCCTAATATTCTTATTATCATAATATAATCTTTCCTTTGCTGGCTTAAAACTAAACTCTAATAATTCTCTTTCGTCTTTCCATCCATAAATCTCTCTGAAAGTAAAACTAAATGCTGTACTCACTAAAAATTCTCTAGGAGCAATATTATAATCCGTCACATTCAAATTTTTCATTGTCTTCATCAATATATTAAAATATTCTACACTTCCACCAATAAAACTCGAATAAGACATAGGTCTATTATAAAATCCACCAATTGCAACGGTCTTGACATTTTCATAATCTGATAAATGTTGCGCTAGCGCTGCACATGCGGATCCACATAAACCATTTGTTAATATGATCATATCCTTTGATTGCCACGGAAGTGGTTTAGGATTTGAACCAGTTATTTCTTGAAAATCTAGAGTATTGTTCGCGTCAATATACTTATTGGTGGTACGAACTTTTAGATTGTCACGAATTTGGAAATTTTCACCCAAGAAGTCTGTTGTATTATTAAATGGTTGTTGTGTATATGCGTTAAGGTATGCATTTGGACTGAAATCAGTGAGAGGCTCTGATTTCTCTGATGCTTCCTTAACTAATAAAGAAAACAATGGTGTGACTACGTTGTCATTTGGGAAGAATGGATTGGCAAGGAGGAAGAGGCGATGAACAACGAATTGTGATACTTCTATGAAACCTCCATTGTTATTTTGTAAATCCAAAACGAGCTTTATTAAGAAAATAATAATAATATATATTCTGTTTAATTTAAAAATAATATTACCGGTAACGTTGATTTTTTTTTAATAATGTACCTTTTTAACACGTGCTCGAGCAAGCAATTCAAATCCATAGTTTAACTCTTTCATCATATCCATCACAACCACAGAATCACTATCGCCTTCAGATATAAAAGATTGAATGACTACGATTCCAGTTTCGTTTAATGTGTAAAAACTTGCAAAATCTTTACTATACAATAATTTTCCATGTTTCAATTTAAGTTTTTCATTTATTTTGCTTGTCATCACCTTTGTATCATTATTTTTTGTAATACAAAAATTATTCCAATAAGTTTTGGAATCTTTAAACATTCTAGGCATTTGATCGATTGCTGTCCATTTTCGCAATATAGTTTTTTCTGTTATTGTAGAATTTTTTTCGGTACAAGTCAACGTGTATGAAATACTAGGTTTTTCGGGAAGATTGAAACGCATTGTAAATAGTGGAGAATTAAATGAAATATTTGATCCATTGATTATAGTAAAAGAAGTTAGCGCATTGTTAAACGCCACACCCGGATCTCTAAATCCTGGAAGTGTATATGCAAATTCGGTGATGACATCTATCGCAGGACGATCATCGATTTTGGTAACTTCACACTCATCATTGCTAGGATCTAATAAATCTGCAAGGACTTTGATTATCTTTATATAATGATAATGATTAAGGTTATGATCTTTTGGAAGAATAGACTAATTTATAAACACATATTTTAAATGCAAATATACCTGAGTTTTATTTTTAATTGTAGAATACAAATAAAGTTTTTGTGTAAATGCGAATCGATCCGCGTAACAACTCGAGTAGAAAGTAAGATGGCCGTCTTTTAATGATCCAACAGTGTCTTGAATATCTGTCTTCTCGATAATTATATAAGTCACGTGTGAGTCATGTTGAGACATTGTTATTACTGTATTAACGTTAAAAACTTACCATGAACTGATAATCCGTGGCATAATCGTTCTTCTCAAGTAACAAATTAAGTTTTTCAATAAGATCAACAGGTTTGGTACTAAACTCTGGTACTGGCACTTCTTTGGCTTTGTCCAAGTATGGATAAAATCCTTGAAGTGTTTTTTTGATTGTGTCGAGAGTCTTTTAATAATAAATATGAGAAAGTAATCAGAATCAATTATTTCAACTTATTGTCGACATAATTTGGCTTTACCTTAATAGCTATCGTTCGATTATATCTAAAAATCTCCAAACATTCTTTTGTATCTTGATAGCTAACCTCCACTGTTTTATTGGCCCGTTCTGAATGTTTGATACCTCGTTTGTATATTCTTGCACACGCGTCCTTTTCAAGAAAATCTCGACGAGTCAAAAAGTAAGATTTTACGACATTGATGCAGAATATAAAGATAGAGATGACAAATAAAGTGAAAATTTTCATATCTTGCGCGTCAAATGAGTATATAAGGAACTTTGACAGAAACTTTGACAGAAAGAATCCGCCATCATTTTGCATTTTATATTCTTTTATGACCTTAACAGTACACACACTACAATGACATACATGTCTTTGATATATAATTTCTTTTATAATACACGTTTACAAGTTCTTTATTTTAATAATATTAGTTACGTAAATCTAATATCAGATATGACCGAGATTTTGAAACTAATACGTAACATTTAGAGATCGAAATGAAATGATGTAAACCAATTTGTCAATTAAATCATTCATATATCTTTAACGAAAAACATGATACGATCGTAAATGCTAATTGAACAAAAACTAATATGTTAGACTCGAAGGACCGCTACTAATGAGATACGTAATACCGAAAGTTACGTATATGATATAAATACAGCATAAATTTATTTATTGAAAAAAAAAAATTACATACATAGATAAATATATATTTATGTAATGTATTTTATACGGTATTATATATGAGGTATATATTTAATATATTGAAACCTCGTTTACATTACTGTGCGAGTATAATTTATAGTTTTTGATAGTAAATCACTGGTAACTTACAACCCTTGATCGTGGGTCGAATTTTAGAAAACCTACGATAACGACTTAAAATCACGTTTAACATAAAAATAACGTATTTATCTTTTTAAGGTTGATATAGCTAATAGTGCTGTTATGCGTCGATAGTTGATTCCGTCATTCAGGGACCGACATATGTTATTAGTTGATCTGCTAATAACCCGAGTTATTGATAGAATGAGTTATCCGACTTATTATTATAAATGATTAATGATGTAAAGAATATTTTAATTATGCATCAATAAAGTATCAGTAAAACAAAATAAATAAATAAATTGACGTTCGTTAAATAATGTTATTTATTATTACTTTTATAAATTACTTTTTCTTTAATATCATGGAACCACAAACATATAATTTTCTATCTCGTGAATCCTTTGACAGAATATTAGAAACACATATTAGCAAAAGAAAAATTAATCGAAGCTTAATGGGATATTAACCGCTATAATGAATGTCTAAATGCTTTAAAAAATCCTGATTTTCAGCTTGACTCAAAGCTTAAATACTGGATTATTAAT